ACTTAATTATATTTCTAATTCTATTTGAAATATTATTACACTTATAACTTTGAAAGAATATCTTTGATGTGATGTAATTACCTTGTCTACAGTTATGTTCAGAGAAATTGCAGTACTTATTAAGGAGGGAGTAAGGTTAATTTTGTGAATGCTTTGTGACGACACAGTTGAAATTTGTTTTTTAAAACCAATGGTACATTAAAGTTTTCATTCTTTAGCCCAGGTAACACCGATAGAATAGGTAATAAAGGTTTTCATAAATAAGGGCAATTAAATTTTTATCCAACTTATTTTCGAACATTTGAATATATAAGAATAACAGCATATAAAAATTATATTACATATCATTATGTTCTTTAGAAAGGGTTAAAAAAATTTCAAAAATGTGTGCTCATTTTAATAAAAGCGAACAACAAAGTACTCTAATTCCCTAAAAACCACACATTTCAATTGTTTCGTAAAATAATGCACAGTATTACAGCATGTCGTTCTTTAAACCCACTCCTATCACCTTAATTGATTGTTGCTCTACATTGCATAAACATTGTTTATTAGTCTGAATTTTTTCGAAAACATAACACATGATATTTCCTCACACATTTTTGATTAGGTTGAACTCAATTCACTGCATGACAAGCAGCGGCAAACTATTAAGGTCCTGCATTTTGAGAATTAGAACTTACTGCTGAGAATATTTCTAACTAAAAGATTCCATTTTAAATTAATCCAACCAATGAAATATTTCACCATTTAGACTTTGAATATTTTATGCGGTTATTCACACCTGTTTTTGCAGCGGCACATATTTAAAAATGGTAATGTTGTCTACTGTCTACTGGGTGAGGTTTAATGATTCATACAAATAGTTGTCAATATTTTTGAGTCTAAAGCATATATTTTTCTGGTTGGCTGCAACAGCACCTTTTCTCTGCTAAACTGTCCCAGTCAAAATGGGCGTTTCAAAAAAGATATTTCCGGTGAACTTTTTAAGGATAAAACGTTTTTTTCACCAGTACCACCACCGAAAAGTTTATCGTTGCCACTTCCAAATTTTTAGTTTATCTTTAAATTTTTTGCAACTTGACACTACTTTCGTCGAATTTGCATGTTTTGTTTACAATTTTAAGGGTTTTAGTAAAGCATTATTAGTTTAGTAAGCTTTCTTTAAACAAGAAAGTTTTAATACTAATTTTCTATGCCGTTATGTTAATCTAAAAACAATTTTAAATGAAATATAAAAAGAGATTTGTTTTTGCATTTAAGAATATCACAACTCGTACTGCTATTAATATGAATTTAACTGTATATACTTATATACATGAGAGTAAACATTTTAGCTTCATCGACCTTCATAGCTGTGCCGACTGAGTTCGTGACTTCCACTCGGTTGTATGCAAAACGTTGGTGTGTACTATTAAACTTGCTTTTACAAGAACCCATCAGCCATCCATAAACGGATTGGAACTAGGGTAAGCCGAGAATATAGGTACATGCAAAACTACCACTTTCACCACAACATAAAGGACTTTTAGGCTGTTGAGTAGATTATTTTACTAATCTACTAGATTTAGCAATATTTCGCCTTACAAAAATGACAGTTGCTAATCTCGTCACCGAGGAGATTTGAAGCTAATCTATTCGAAATCTCCCTGTGCGCCATATGTTGTGTCAGTAGGGAAATTATCACAGCTCATTTGGACACTACAAAGAAAAAAATGTAAACAAATAAATTAAAAGCAATGCACCTGAATTCACCGGGTAATTGGCAGTGAGAACAGTCTAGATTAGTATTTTGTACAAATACATTGAAAGAACAAGATTACCAAATTTTGAAAAATTTGTTCAGCTCATGAAAAAGAATTTCGAAACTGGACGAGGCAAGCCACAATTCGGAAACAGTTAAAATTAAATTAAGAGACTGTGGGAAATTTTGTAAACATAAGAAGTCGATACTATTCCTAGGAAAGCACTTATTGAGTAAAATTAAATTCGGAAACAGTTAAAATTAAATTAAGAGACTGTGGGAAATTTTGTGAACATAAGAAGTCGATACTATTTCTAGGAAAGCACTTATTGAGTAAAATTAAATTTTGAAGCGCTTTGCTCATCTTTAGCCATTTGGGTTTTATTTCATTGCGCACAATTACAGTGTTTAATAGTATGTAAAAACTCCTTAGCAACTATAGATATCGTAGGATGCGACAGCCCAAAGTTAAATTAATTTCCACTGTGTTTTCGATAACTACCGTCAGCAAGGAAACGAAGAGTTGATAATTTCAATCTAAGAGATACGGCCGTTCCTCGCACACGTTTGTGGAAATGTTTTTCTTTCTCATTTAGTAAAAATGTTTCATTATTTAAAAAAAATATATTAGGAAACTGCAAAAAAATATTACTTAAAAGACATTTAATTGCCAAACTTAAAGTTTTGGTCACATGGATTACAATATTGGCTAATGCAGGGGGTAAATAGAATATAAATAGGCAAAGAAAAAATCGACTTGTTTGCATTAAGGCGTATGACATTTTACATGTAACAGGTGCGTAATTTAAACATGCATATCAGGTTGAAAGAAAGGCATATATAATACCGTGAGTCTCAGTGACTGTATTTGACGCTGTTTGGGTTCGATTACTCAAATCAACCTACTAACTAGAACCTAAACTTATTGAGAAATACATAATTAACCCATACTAATATTATGAATGTGAATGTAAGTTTTGAAAGCGTAATATATCACGCGGAAACCACTTAACTGCTCATTATGAAACTTGGTACACTTATTCTTAATGATAATAGAAAAGGTGTAGGATATTTATTATTAAAAAATAGATGTATATATTTTTACAAATTGTGGAAAAACGTGTTTTTGTAGATATAATTGTTTGTGAAATAAATTTGAAATTTGAAACAATTTATTTTGACAGATGGTATATTATTGGTGTACATATGTATTTTGCCATTTGTTTTTGTTAATGATCTGTGATATTTATTTAAGGAATTCAATGTGGGCGGGTTAAGCTAGTGTATAAATAAAATATAACGGGGAGTTTCCGTTATCATCAAGAAGTAGGAGAGTCGCTGCTAACTAAAAGTTTAAACGCGGAACTATTATTATGTAGATTGTATTAATACAGACCGTTTTAAACTTATTCTCAATCAACAATATTGTAAGTATCAATACATGAATTTAAAAGTTCCAGTGTTACTCGGTTGTACATGTGTGCAGATGTATACTGTTTAATATTGGTGACGATGATGACGCTTTCACTAACCAGTAAGAGACCATACAGCGCCAAAGATTCGGAAAACAATCCGATAGTCAAATCATTCAACCCCTTGCTGAGTAATATATTGTATATACACATATACATTTGAATTTTTTGTGTACATATAATACATATACATATACTTGCTGGAAACATTTCTATATAATCTGTATATATGCATACACATACTTACATATCCGCCAGCTGTGGTCAGAATTATTACTGCAACATTTAAAACGAGTAAATTTTTTTTGGGCAAATTAATTACAGTTCCAAATTAAAATATGTACATTCAATTATCGACTTTGGTTAAAACAAGTATTGAGAAGTGTAAAAAGTAACTTGAAGGATGTGTGACTGAAGAACCAGTCGTTAGTATAAATTAGTTAATAGTGTAAAACATGATTATTGGTCCGGTCTAAACGCTGACCAACTTTTCAACACATATAATACTACATACGCTTTCTTAATTTTTTTTTTGTTATTAAGTTCTATCGTCTATACAACAGTTCTCGTTTATGAATATATAATATAAGTTTGTATAAATATGTATTTTTGTCAGACCAAGGCAAGATTATTGTCTCTTACCATTAGAAATACGTACATATGTACATATTTACGTATGCTAACGTACATGTACTATGATGTGACATCATACCTTCAATAGCTATATAAGACAAAGACAGGGCAGAAATCGTTTCAGCACTGGCGTCACCCACCGGAGTGTTCGAGGTTTTAGTTATGGCGCATGTTATGATACTGACGTTATCACTCAATAATGTTTCTAATACTTAATATATTTTATTAAATATCTTCCCACTTACTACTTCAATGTTTTTTAAGAGTGATAAAAACGAAAATAGACATACATATGTAGTGTTTCATGCTCTCGTCACATCTGTATTAAATTTTCTTTCTTGGTGATGTTGGGTGGAACAAATTTGTACGACTTTGAAAATCTTTAATGTATAACTCAGTTCATGCATAGACTTTCAGCCAAAAATATTTTTACAGATTATACCGGAATATATGAATATAGGGATAGCAAGACTTGACAGTAAATAAGAAGAGAGAAACATCTCATTCAAACATTTATGTATAAATCTAATTAATGAAAAACGGTTCTTTTGAAATCTGTTGACTATCATGATTAAATTTTTGAACATGCAGTTTAAAATCCTCTAGTCTTCAATTATTTAGAACTTAGAAGTGAGCTTTTCGAGCTTTGGCGAGAAACGGGTAAAGTGCAAAATATTTTTAAAACGATACAAATATTTGGGAAAAATCTTCCTAATTTTCGAGCATAAATGGCATTCAATAAGTTGTACGGAGTAAGACGGGTTTCAAAATTTGCACCATAAACGTGTCTGAGGTGAATAGCTTATTTGGACAACTTAAATACGACGTAGTGTTTCATGCTCTAATCACATCTGTATTAAATTTCAATCAGACCATAGTTTTGCAAGTTTTCAAAAATTTCATTGAAATCTATCTAACAGTTTTCGAGATACAGTGGTTTCAGGGTTAAAATATTTTTGAGAAAAACGCCTTTAAAGTTTTACGCTTCGATTTACCGGTCGCTTGCAGCTGCTGCTAGCTACCTGCTCTCGAACGTTCCAGAGCGACCGAAAACCCTTTAGTAATTGTCGAATAACTCGAAAAGTTTTTGTCGGATTTACTTCAAACTTTTAAAGTATTTCTAGGAAATTATATTTTATTGAATTTAAAACGATTTTTTGAAATTCTGACTACCCCTACCATATAAAATATGTCAGAAATTACTAAAAAAAATTTTGTTAACATAATCCCTAGTTTTGCGATGAACCAGTCCTGATGCATCCATCAGCTGCAGGTGCTGCTCATTCTTTTGTATCTTACTAACACTATTTCATTGCGAAGACTTGACGATTTTCTTGCGGCTCAGTACTTTGGCTACAATGTTTTACATGCAGAACTGGAAAAGACTACTCCAAGGATTATCGAATTATTGACCACGGGTATTACCTCGACAATAATTACGATGTTAAGAAAAAATCCATTTCGTGCAGTGAATAATACCGCCGTGGATTTAATGAGGGCATCGTTAGGGTCCCTGTAGTGACGAAGCGAGATAGTTATTAACTTTCATACCTGTTATCAGCATATTAGATTATTGAAATTCTCTGGTGGTTGCGGGAGTTTTAAGATATAAGAAGTTAGGAAGAGCTTTGTGGTGTAACCGAATGTCTTATACTTCCACAATTTGTAAGAATCAAAGGCAGAGAAGTACTTACTGGCGTTGGCGAAACTATATATTAAACAATTAAGGAAGGGCTAAAATCAGATCTAACCGAACATTTAATACTCTCACAATTTGTGTGGCTTAAAGGCGGTGAAATGTTGTCAGGTGTTGACTTTGTATTAAAAAATGATACGAAAGAAATCATTACTCATTATTCGATGAATGATTCAAAGGATTATCATATTTGGTATATTATTAATTTATATTATACGTGATATTTTCACATAATTTCATTACTATTACATTTTGGTTCTTGTCCCATATGTTTATATTAAATCAATTTAATTAACTCAAATTGTCATATGGGAAAACAATTCAACTAAAGAGGTTAAATTTAATATAGTTTTTTGTATATGAGGAACCAGCCAGAGAATGAAGATCACTATATTAGGGATATGAGATTTATACCAAGGTCCACTTAATTTCGTTAAAATAACACGCTTATTTGCCGACATAAACGTAATCTCTCGGGTATATTGGGACTAGGGGAAAATTTGGGCTGATTGAATGAACGCCAAATATACTCGAGAACATGTTTCCACGTAATATTGCGAAAATATCTCATACACTGATCTACATATTCGGCATAATATATGTTATAATAACAATAATTGTATAGGGGATTTGTGGACCGATTTCACATAATCTGCATTAAACTATAGTATATAATCAGGGGTGTTGTAAAATTTGATAGTTGTCGGAATCAAAGTTGCAACCGATTAAAAATGCAGTGGGTGTCATGAATTCAGATATTATTGGTTTGACGTTCGAAACAAATTGTATCGGTTTTGGGTGTCACGGAAACCAATTTTATCGGTTTTGTTATCGTAAACAAAGGAAGAGGATATTCGCTGACAGATTTGAAATGTAAGTTAAAAAATTAATTTATATTATTATTAAGATTTAATTTATCTTTATTTCTATAGGGGAGAACATAAGAATAAAACACAAAATGTCATAATTATTGAGTTTATGGTAGAAATCATGATATTTTAAGAGGTTTTTTAAAACGTAATTTAACACCCAAATGGGCCTTTATTCAGTCGATAATGTGATATAAATCTGTAAACAGGTACATATACAAGCATACAAGTAACTGCAAGCCAAATTTTACGTGCGCTTTCCCTGGTGCATCAAATAGATTACTGTGATCTCTTAACATCTTCCTTTTAATTTTTTCGTTGCTTTTTTCAATAAATTATCTTACATATTGACTGATATAGAGCGTTATCGGTAATGCAAATTGCGTAGTATGCATGATGCAACCAGTTCGAAAAAGCATCACTGTCGCAGTTGTTGCGTAAAAACGCGGAAAACATGTAACATTTGATAAGTAGTTGCACAAAAAATTACATTATTAATATTATTTTATTATAATAAATATTATTATATTAAAATTGTGAAATAGGCATACTTGTAGCCTCATTTTCACAGTGTTACATAACAATATCAGGATAATGTTATGCATCAAATTGCACAAAAAATTACATTATTAATATAATTTTATTATAATAAATATTATTATATTAAAATTGTGAAATAGGCATACTTGTAGCCTCATTTTCACAGTGTTACATAACAATATCAGGATAATGTTATGCATCAAATTTGGTTAAAATTTTACAGCGATGCCTAGGAATCTTGGCTATGTATTGTAGTTTTTTCTGTAGTATTTATTTGGTGAATTATCGCACTTTTATTGTTCAATATAAACTTTACTGAGGAAAATGTCAATCACAAAATCGGAAATCATTATATGATATAAGCAGGGATGGGCAGGACCACAACCAAAAGATCCTCACGAAATAACATTGTGTTAGTGAGTTTACAGTGTGACAAAACGAATCAGCGTATTATTACAATTTGGCATTTAAAAAAGCGACTATATGATATCTTATTGAGTAAGAACTAGTTTAATTCTATACGTAAAATATGGACCTGCGTCCGCACCAACGCTTTTAGTTAACTGCTGATTGCAGACTGTTTTTATCGTCGCTATGTCCCATGGTAAGTGCTGGTTTTACAGTCTTCGTGCATGTAACTGCCGTCCCTAAATAAAAGCGGCAGTGGCAAATTACTGTCTAAAATTCCTCATGCCCATAAATTTTGTATGCCGTATACCTAAAACAAAGCGGCGACAACGCTAAGCGTTGAAAAATTCGGTTAAGAGGTGAAGTTGGCTGCAAAAACGCGAAGAAATTCGGTTTTGACGGCGAGTTAAGAAGTAACGGGTGCGTTCAAGATGGCAATCACGACAGCAGTGATGCAAATTTGTCAAATTATCACGCTCTGCGCGAATTTCTGGCAACAATTTCAACAGCATCACGTTCTACTGTCACCTTTTGCACTCAATCAACCAAATAATCGGCATCACTAAATTTTTGTCTGCATATCAGCAGAGTATGAGCAAATATGCAACACAATTGCTGTACTGCTACAATTTTTACGTACTTAGCTCGAACGCACCCAAGGTTGGCTACAGAAAACGAGGAAAGTGTAACTTTTCTGAAAAATTTCTTGACACACGCTGTTTAATGCTTATATAAATGGATATAAGTATTATTAATAAATTTATTCGTTTTCCATTTGATATCTTTAGTAAAGGGTTTTTCAATAAGGATGATATGATTTCAAAAAAAATAAAGTACACTATTTGTTAAGGAAATTTAAATGTTTTTGTTTTTATTTAATGTGAAGTCCAATCGATACCATTAAGTTCTGGATATAACATCATTCAAATGGCCTCACGACTTCTTTTGCAGGAACGAATTCGATGAATATAATTTTCGAGTACTTTTTCCTCTAAATCAAGTCGTTCGGTTATTACGACCATAAAATGGCAAAAGCGCACGAAAAGTTACAATTAGAGAACGATTATTCTGATAATAAATTTTAATGATTTGTAAACGTTGTTCTTGCGTATATTTTTCTATGATGAAATTGTAAATATTACTGTACACAATGAAATAAAATTACAGATCATGACATATTAAAAATGGCCACAAGGACACTTAGAAATCTTCCCTATTGGAAAACCCGATACTTATTTTTAGAATTTAGAAAGTAAGAATTTGACGTAAGTTTGTCGCTTTATTTAGGGATACCGCGCCAGCGTTAACGCTAAACGGGCTCCACGTTTGTATTTAGGAACGGCAGTTGGTTACTATCCGTGTGTATACCATACGTATACGATCACTTATAATGGAAACAGTCACCGACGCAAAACCGTAGATCTAATTAGCCGATACGACCTTTCTTATGAGAGTAAAATGGAAATGAACACTCACCACCGCTTCTACCGTCCGTACGGTAAGATATCCGCTGAAATTGGATTTTTCCCGTAGAAACGATTGGGCTGATTGCTCTCTTACAACACAAGTTTGCCAGTCTCGATATGTGGTAGTAAAAAATAAAATTGAATATATTTGAAATATTCTTACAATAACACAAAATTAGAGTCGAATACAACTATTTATAAATAGGTAGACTATTTTTAATAGCTGGATTTTAGTTTTGAGCTTTTACATTATGAAAAATTATAACTAAGAAACTAAATTTGCGCAAAATCATGTATACAAATTGAGCAATGGCAACATAGGTGAAATGAAAACAGAGGAGAACAACTGATTTCTACGTTGCCACTACGAGCATAACTTTTGACAAATTTTGTTTTTAACGGGCGGTAAGTACGGAAGAGCGGAACGTCGGTGACTGTTAGCACCATTACGCTCTTTTGGCACATGCTAAGGTTTTGCTCATCCCTGTATATGGGGTTCAGACCAGGGATGACCACAGCAGTGGTCGGCATGAGAACAACTCCGACGGTGTAGGTTAGCATGAAATTAAAGACACCCAGTTCTCACTCCCTTACCTTAGATTTCGTGAGTTTTTTTCATTCTTTGTTTAAGCAAGTACTTTCATGCTTCCTGATTTATTTTATATATTCTTCGATTAAAATAAATATATTAAACCCTAGAATTTTATTGCCTTTAAGTAAGGTAAAACACAAAATATAATTCCGAAACTCCTCTCTTTGTCTTCTGAGAGAGCTCAAGATCTCATGCTTTCCTTTGGCAGCACTGAAAGTTCATGAGCTACTGAACAGATGACAAGCAAAAGAGCGAACTACCACTAAGAATCCCGCATAAATAAATTTGTGAGAATAGAATTTTTAGTGACTTTTACTGTGTTTCTAATCTTTATTAAAAGAGATTTAATATAGTTTTATTTTTAAGAAAGAGCGGTTATTTTGTGCAGAGTATTGTTTTGCTTAGCAGTACCAATTGTCAACGTATATACTTATGTACATATTTAGGTTACAATTCCCCGCAAATTTTATGTAAACTTTGACTTCCGAATGAATTATCCAAAGATATTTGTTTATTGAGTATATGAAAAATAAATTATGTTCATATATAGGTTATTTTAAATTTGCAAGTGTTTTGAAATATTAAAATATTTTGTTTAATTGAGCTTTAAAAGCTAATTTTGAAAATCATTTGTGATTAAAATAAACATGTACATATATTTAGACCGCATATAGGATATCAAGCTTGTTAAACTAATTTTAATTATGTATATTTTTCTGTTAAATGGAAACCGAAAAATACCCAAGAGATACATTTAAAAAGTCTCAAAACTTATTTCTTTCCTTAGTGGCACCACTGTAAAATGTTATAAAAATGTGAACTTTAACCTCTCGATTCAAAGAGTACCTTATCATGTTATCCTTGGTTTCGACAACGACTGAATGATAGAGCGTAAGCATACGTGTAAGAAATGCCGATCACTGCTTTCGAGCCATACGACAACAACACCAATAAAAGTTACAACAAACTCAAAAAATACTTAAAACTATATTTCGACTGAACTGACAACAAAGCAGTTGTTGCTAAGTGAGTGTGAGACAATGTTAGCCAGCTGTGAATTAAAGACGACTATCCTGTTAGTTTCGAGTGAGCATTATATTTAAGAAAACATTTCCACTTAATTAATTAGGTTTATAACTATATTCGTGCCGTTTTTTTTATTTTGAACTTTTATTTAAGAAAAGCATGTACAATAGTATTATTCAAACTATTGCGCATTTGAAGCTATAACATTTGACCCATAGTTCTGGCAATTTGTGGATTCCATCCCAAAGGAACTGCACCGGCTTGAATCAAACAAATTTTTAATACCCTGTTTTTTTTTTCAAACCGTGTTCCAGTGAGGGCGTTCTGCATCGACTGGAAAAAATGTTGATAAAAAGGCAAGGTCTGAGCTATAAGAACATATAAGTTGTACAAAAATCTGATAAGTAGTTCCCCAAGTTTTAGCAGTTCATAATAGTATGCTTTTCTGACCCTACCAAATACAGAGCATTACCTGGCCAGATTTCGTCATGGCACCAGTCACAATTCGATGCAAAAACCACTTTTTTTTTTTAGTGTTCAAGCAGTATTTCTGGTATGCAAAATTGTCTTTCAACGTCTCTTGGTTTGAATTCATACAACACCCAATTTCCTTGCTTTTGAATCTGGCTGCTTGAGTGACTCCCAAAGATCATCCGAGATCTTCTTTTTTTTCTTCAAATGACAGCATGTATAGTTATGATTTTAGCTGCGTGGTTTTAGACGCATATTTCTTGCTTTTTTTTTTTTTTTTTTTGCCTATCAACCCAAATTCAGTTCAGTGCCACTGAAAAAAAATGTTAAGAACATATTGTGCATTCATACAAACATACAGGTGAAGCTAATAAAAGCGTTCTAAAAAGACGCACAAGGATAGGGGATTTGCTATTGACCGATATAAACGATATAATATAAATTTGTATGAGGGAGAAGTCTACCAGATGGACGGAAATCATTATAATAAGGGTATGGGGC